CCCTCGGCGGGAGCGCCGCCGCGCTCCCAAGCGCCACACTCTACCGAGTGCACCACCGGGCTGGCCTGAGAGATGATTTTTCTATTTTAAAAAAAATCTGTCAAATTAGAGTACCGTATTCTGGCTGGGGATGGAGCGTTCTGTTCCTCAATTATCAATAGGGTGACCTAAGGCATTTTTGGTGAGTGGAAATCAGGTCCCTTTACAAGGTCTAATTCTACTATCACTTGTTTCTTTTATAGACAGCACTAGCTTCCCACACCCAAGTGCCTAAGGTAAAGCTGGTTGGGAGTAGGCAGTACAACTGGCTTCTGGTAAATACTGTAGTCACTCTGCAGTGCACAGCAGGAACTATTCGATTTCAACACCTGTTAAAGAGAAAATCAATTGACAATTTTCCTCGCAGCATCCAGAAGAGAGTCACACACCCCTTGGGCACTCAATTAATGCTAATTGAAATGTAGGGAAAAATTGGAATTGAATTCATGGCCCTGAAATAATAGGTAAATGATGAGATCATTATAGAGAAAGACTATGGATCTGGCACTTACAAACAAGGACCAATAAAGGTCATGAATAAAATACGAACCAACATTAATTTCTGTTCAAAACATATATTACCTTGGGGCCAGCCCGGGGCTCACTTGGGAAAGTGTGTTGCTGACAACACCAAGTCAAGGGTTAAGATCCCCTTACCGGTCATCTTTAAAAAAAAAACAAAAAAACTGTATTACCTTTTCATTTCTGACTGCCGAAATTTTCAAATACTCTTCCAAATCTCCTGAAAAGAACAAGAGAGACGGAGAGAGAGATGTCACATAAAGCCTTGGTGTGTGAGATAGTGTTATATCCAGCGCAGTGTCATGCCCCTAGGAAATGTGTTTTTGGTGAAGACAGTAAAATGGAGCTTAGATAAAATACTGTTTTTGATAATATACTGTGTCGGTAGAATATTGTTTACATGAAACCTGATCAGAAATATCAATCACCCTGAAGTCCTTTTGTTTTTAGAATATTTCTGACCTAATATATTCAGGGAAACATTCAAATTTATAGACATCTTCCCTTCAAAATGCAAATATTCTTCAGCATCTATCTGGTGTACACAATGATTTGCATGCTGTGCTCAATTTTAGACATGATTCATCAAGAAGCTTCCATTTCAAGAGCACATTTTTATTTTGAATATTGATGTAGCCCCTGTTTTGTGCCTAGTAATAAAAACAAAGTAAGAAAGCCTTTGGTTCAAGCTCTTTGGTGTGTCTTACCACTCTACCCAGCAAAATTTTAAAATATTAGTATATATTTGTAACATTTTCTTCCTTCTACCCCTTTCTTTTAAAACTTTTTCTTATCTACCTTCCTAAGGTTTTACTCTCTGAGCCATTTCTAAGAAGAAGGGGTCATGGGGATGATCAACTAGCAAAGATTGGGATTAGGATGACCTCTAGAGAGCAGGGCTACATTGTGACTTTCTTGGGCCCTATGCACTTTTGCCTTGGTGGGCCCCTGTCGCCATAAAAAAAATTAAAAAATAAAAACTATATTTCATGACTGCATTGTTATAAAGACTAACAATCATTTTTATCCTCATTTTTTCTACTGATTTAAAAAAATTAAAATGAAGACATTGTGTGGGCCCCTGCTGTGTCCAATGGATAAGTCGGCCCTGTTGCAGAGGACAGAAGGATAGATAGAAGGATAATGAACTTGGACAAAAGAGAGGGAAGTAGCTGAGGAAATACAGAAGAGGTTGCTGTGAGCCAAAGAGAGCACACAGGGACTGTGGCTCAATGGAGGAGGCTGAGAAACTGTGGACTGAGCTCAAAAGTTCAGGCAGCTTGAAGAGAGGAGTGAATGTGAGGTCTGCAATGTCAAGAAGTGGGTCACAGATAACCTTCCAGAAGTTGCTGGTGAATAAAATGATACTAGTCATCAATGTTTGGGACTGAGAAAAAAATAAGAAACCAGTGGATTTAAGACTGAGTAAAATTAAGTCAAAGGATTTAGGATGAGCTGCGGAAGTGGGAGTAGAGTTTATATTATAGAGGAAGAGGTATTTGTCAATAAAATAAATCATGTGGATACATGTACAGTTTGAAATTCCAATTCAGGAAATAGTTTCGGTATAATAATAATGCCTGGTGTTTACTGAATTTCAGGTGCCATAGACCAAGCATTTATATGTTTTATCCCTGCTCCACCTCACATCACTCCTGGGAGGCACATACTGTTATTAACCCCTGTCTGTGAGAGTGCCCAGTGCATGAGGGGCACTCAGTAAATGTTCCGTGAACCTTACATGGGTCAGAAAGGGCAAAGGTGGAGAACATGGTGTGTAAGGGACGGGTGGGCTGGGCTGAGAGGGGCTATGAACTTAAGGGACACAGCCAGGTGACAGGAGTGAAACAAACCTCAACAGTGTGTGCCCTGGCAAGCTCTGCACCTGCCCGCAGAGCCTCAGTTTCTTTTGTGGAAAGGGAATAACAGTGCTGATTTGGGTAAGCAGTTGGTGGCGATGACTGCGGGTGTATTCCTCTGCCTGGCTTCACCACATAAACCTTACTTGAAGAACTGCAGAGGGCTCTTTTTAAATCTTATTCCATTTTCCTGCAGCCACTGGCAGGCAGCTGCTGTGGAGCAAAAATGGGCTGAAGTCTCAGGGGCAGCAAAGGCAGAGGAATGCAGACATATGCTGCTAGGAAGGGCAGCTGAGGAAAACCTTGCCAAGCCAGGTGACTTTGAATAACAGGAAGGAAGCATCTGTGATACCAGAAATATTAAAATCAAGCCATAAGGAGGCAAGAAGGAGAAATGAGATGACAGGTTTATTCATTGACAGGAACTTGCACAGTTCAGATATGAATGGACTGGTGCAGAAGGCTTTGGAAGCATCAAATGTCTATGAAAATATTGCGAATTATGTTAGTGAAGCCAATGAAACAGCAGAATTCGCTTTGAACATCACTGACCGAATTTACGATGTAAGTATTCCTTTATTTTGAAGTCCATTTATGTGGTGCCTTTTCCTACTCAATACTTTTCTGTTTTCTAATGTCATCTCTCGAGCTTCCAATGTAAGTTACAAATAGTACAAATGGCAGAAAGGGTCGGGGAACTGAGGAAAGACCGTTTTCCTTAGGCATGAAGGTTTCAGTTTGCAAGTTCTTCATGATGTTCTGTGTGCCAGTCAGCAAATGCCAGTTCCTTTGAGCTTTTTCTAGCCAAGTCCCTGAATAAATATATCTAAAAACCAGTTCCTGCTGATAGAGAAGATGCTTTATGCATGCATTCAGATTTTTTCAACACAGAATTATTTATTGAGTGGCTTCAAAGTGTGACAAGCACTTTGTTGGGGCCTTGGTCGGGGGCTGTTCTATATTCATTGAATTTTCCTGAAAAAACATTTTTCTTGAAAATGCCAAAGACAATATTTTCTTATGTTCACATTTGACCTGGATTTTGGACTATGAAAATGAAGCCGTGTGAAGTTAGCTGGTGTTTAGCGGGTAAACTGTATCACTTAAATGCTGAAACCATGAAAAGCTGATATCTTCTGCTGTCATTCTTACTCTTTTCACCCAATTCCTTTGTAGGCTGTGAGTGGCATTGATACTCAGATCATTTACCATAAAGACGAAAGCGAGAACCTCCTCAATCAAGCCAGACAACTGCAAGCAAGGGCATTTTCTAGTAAATATCTTACTTTCCTGTTTTCTTCTGATTTAGTTGCGTCCCTCCTTTCATACACATAGACAGAAATTTCCAAAAGCTAGGATTAAAGAATACATTTTTTTTTTTTTTTTGCGGCTGGCCCAGACCCATGCTGTTGGTGTTACAAGGCTGTGCTCTAACCAACTGAACTAACAGGTCAACCAAGAATAAATAATATTACGACTGAATAGTACACCATAGTCCCTGCTCAGAGTCAAGTTATAATAAGGCAAGGATTTTATATTTTTTAATATAATGTTATCGAACATGTGGTGTATATTCTTGCTAATCAAATAGGCTGATTAGTAGAAACTTAGCATGAATGTCAATTTTCAAGAAGATAATGCTATAAAATACACTTAACACTAAAACTACATTGCCCATAAGTTGCCCATAATTTAATCTTTGTTGAATAATTCAGTAGGCTCTTTAAAATTTTTACTGCAAAGGAATTGGTCATCATTGTAAGAGTCAGGATGACAGGGAGACACAAAGCCATCTGGTTATTTGCACTTTCTTATAGTTCTACACAGTAAAATGTGTAGAACAAACCTGATAAAGATGCTAAGATCACTATGTGTAAAACTATAATACACTGCTGAAAGAAATTAAAGATCTAAATAAATTTAAGATTTAAATAAAATTTAGATCTAAAGAAGAATAAATACCATGCTTATTAAGTGGAAAACTCAAATTTGTAAAAATGACAGTTCTCCCAAATTTATCTATGGATTCAACGCAGTACCAATTAAAGTACCAAAACTGTGTGTGTGTGTATACATACATACACACACACACACATACACACACACACACACACACACACACACACACACACACACACACACACACACATATATATATACCGGTTAAAGTACCAAAACAAGGCTCAGATGACTTCTCCCAGTGAATTCTTCCAAGCACTTAAAGAAATAACACCACTCTTATACAAATTCTAGAATTTGTATGATTCTAAAATTTCTATGGAAATGGGGGGAAAGCCAAGAATAGTCAAGATAATCTTGAAAAATACAAACAAACCTGGAAGACAAACTATGAGATATCAAGACAAAAGTAGAGAAATTAAGACAAAGCTATAAAATATTACAACATTGTATCAACTCTTTTGAATAAAGTTTAAAAACAGACACAACTAACATGGAGATAGAATTCAGCAGTGGTCATCTTAGAGTAATCATAGGGGGCCTAGGAAGTTTCGAGGGCGCTAATAATGTTCTATTTTCTTGACCTGGATGCTGGTTATATTTTGTGTTCGCTTTGTGAAAATTCATCAGGCTGTGCACTTATAATGTGTGCCCTTTTCTAGACGTATGCTATATATCAATTAAAATTATATTGAAACAATTAATAAAAACAATTATTTACGTGTAATTAGTCATCATCACACATATATAGTTTTTTTTTTCTTTTAGCTCTTTATCAATTTTGTTGCTAGATGTTATTAATCACAGCAGTGCTATATTTTTCCATCAAAGAAATTAAACATTATGGCATCCTAGTAACAAGCAGTGTTACTAGTTTTCTGCAGTCCTGTACCTCTCATTCTAAATACCACTTTCCAGAATTGGTGATCTATGCTCAGAGTATTCAGAATATTGCAGAGGACTCCATGGTACAAATCAGAATTTTCTTTGTTGAAACGGAGCCTTTTTGGAGGCATCTTGGCCCCACTGGTACTACTTTTCCTGCTGCTTCTCCACAGACAATGATGAGGCAGTGGCTGACACCAGCAGGCGTGTGGGGGGAGCCCTTGCAAGGAAGAGTGCCCTCAAAAACCGATTAAATGATGCCGTTAAGCAACTACAAGCGACAGAGAGAGGTAAGGATCACAGAGAGAACTAAAGTCTTAATGCTTTGTTCACTGGTGTGTACGATAAACCTTTGAGGAAAGATTAGGTGATTTCTTATTTGTCAATCATTTTATAATTATTTTTTCTGATGACAAAAGAAACTATGTTTATCGCCCCAAAAAATTGTCCTAGAAAATAAAAAGAAATAAACATAGAAGCTGTAATCACACCACTTAGAGGAAGGGACCTTTAAATTTGAGAGCATTTTCTTTCAATCTTTCGTGTGTGTGTGTGTGTGTGTGTGTCTGTGTGTGTGTGTGTTTTAATGGGACCATGCTGTTTACACTGTTTGGTAATTCTTGTGAACATTCTTCCTTGTTAACAATATGCCCTAATTTGGTTATTGGATTTCTTTGGCTCCAACTGTAAACAGCTTCCCTCTGTCACGTGTTGAGTTTTTCTTATCATATAAGCAGGGAGACCAACAAGCCAAAGAGAGAAACAGAGCACTTGTCTTGCCTAATCTGGGACTACCGGTACCTTAAAAAGATATGATTAGAAGCAGATGTGCTTTCTCCAGCGTAGTAAAAGTTAAAGCCCTTCTTCTGGATGTGGATGTTTCACTAAAAGGAGCAAATCCTAGCTACAGTCCTGCGGACTGGCTCTGGCCATGAGAGAGGTCATCACTGAGAAGCCTCAGCAGCCTCAGCACTACTGTTTATTGATGCTTACTGCGTGCTGGGCACTGTGCTAAGTGTCCAACATACCTTATCTCATGGGGGATTTAGTATCACCATTGCCTTTAGGCTGCTAGGAACCCTGGAACTTGTCAGAGTTAGGGAAACTGCTCGTTAAGCACAGCCAGTAAGAAGCAGATCCAGGATTGAAACCAACATTCATCAGAATCCAGAGCACATGAAGTTAAATTAAATGTTTTCTCACTTTAAAATTTTGAAGTTACAACACCACGTAAGTGATTTCTCATTATTTTTATTACAGAAGTAGTACATGACCCTTATACAAAAATTAGAAAATACAGATAAGAAAAAAGAGAGAAGAAAAATCACCTCTAATCCCATTGCCTAGACAAAATTTTTTTGTCATAAATTTACATTATTTTTATTTTAAATATGCTATTTTTAACAAAGATGGGATTTCACTATTGATACTATGTTGAAACTTGCTTTTTTTCTATTCAAAAATACCTTTCCTTATTAATTTACCTTTGTACTATGGCCTCATTTTTGTGGCAAAAGTGTTCCACAAGAATACTGATCCAGCATTAAAAGAAATAATATAAAAGAAAGTAAATTTACACATAAAAGAGAGTAATATTTACAATGAATTTCAGACACAAACAACTTCTTAGTTAAAATCTCATATGCATTTTCTGTGGCTTTCTCACCAGGTCTCTAACCTGAGGAAATACTTTTTTTTTTTTTTTAATTTGTCTCTTAATTTGAAAGCATTTTAAGTGATCCACATGGTTTAAATGAGACTTTAGAGTCTTTTAAACTCACTTATTAATACTGTTTACAGTATTCTGGAGCACCTAACTCCTACCATAATTAACATACACAGATTTAACGATTTTAGTGTGACTTAAAAGCCCAAAATTTGAGATGTCTTATCCCAGTGACTAAACGAATGTTAATGTTCCCCAACACGTGTCCTGCTTCTCTGCAAAGTGCATGTCCTTGTGCTTTGTGTGAAGGTGATGCTCAGGAGCGCCTGGGTCAGTCCAGGCTGGTCACCGAGGAAGCCAACAAGACAACAGTGGAGGTTCAACAGGCCACCGCCCCGATGGCTAACAACCTAACCAACTGGTCACAAAACCTTCAAAATTTTGACTCTTCTGCTTACAACACTGCAGTGGACTCTGCTAGAGATGCAGGTATCACTTAGAAACTTCACAATTTGGATCCAGTTGAAGAACTGGATCAACATCTTTTGTTAAGAAGTAATTTTCTTTATTTGGGTTTTGGATTGGAATATTGTTAAAATTAGCTTTAAAAAGGAGAAAAAGGGCCGATCCCATGGCGCACTCGGGAAAGTGCGGCGCTGGGAGCGCAGCAGCGCTCCCGCCGCAGGTTCAGATCCTATATAGGGATAACTGGTGCGTTCACAGCACTCACTGGCTGAGCGCGGTGCGGCTGGTCTCAAAAAGGACAAAAAAAATAAAAATAAAATAAAAAGGAGAAAAAAATTGTTCTATTTATCTGTATGTGTGTCTATACATATGAAATTTATATGTGAAATTTATATCACATAAATAAACCCTAGATTTGTAGAGTCATACTTTTTTCTATGTGAGATAATGGTAGCAATTGTTTTTATCAATGTAAGACTGATCCTTTGAGAAAGAAGATCAATTAGATGTCAGAGAAAATAATGTTAACAAAATACTGTTTAGTTTTTAGGGAAAAAAATTTACTAAATTTTGGTGCTTTCACTAAACAGCATTGCTTTTTCCTGAGAAGCAGGTTATTACCAACAAGTACTGAATATGGCCAAACATAACTCCAGCTTCCTATTAAGAAGCTTATTGGCCAACTTGAGTACATAATTTTATAGCAATGAAGATAAAGTATTCCGATGTCTACCTAATTTATCTAGTTACACTTGATATTAAAATCATACACTACTTGAGAAATTTCCCTTTCTCACATTGTTATTCAATCTTTTATACCACTTAAATATCAATGTTTATCCATATCATGACGAATCATCACTGAAACTTCTAGTTTTCCAGTATGGTTTTGCATACTATATTACCTTCATCTGCATCTGA